GCGGCAAATGTAATTGCTTTCGTCACTCTCCATCCCGTCAATGTGATCATGCAGAACAACTTGTGGAAGAGAAGTGATGTGAGACTCAAAGATATGCCATAATGTCATGGATGCTCGATGAGAGTTTCGAAACTCATGAGCAAGCGTAACTTGAAGTTGGGAGGTAGGAGAAAAAAATAAAAGATTCGTATCCATTCTGTACCGTATATACGACAGTTCAACATACATCGAGATCTACTTTGTGATAACAAATCTCTGTTTTTATAGCAAATCTAGTTTGTAGCATGTTTCCCAGCCTATCGATTAAGGTAACAGTGGTTTGTTGTTGACATTCTGATCATTTCAAAAGAAATGCAAGTTCGCTGAAAAACTGACAGTTTTTCGATTTTTTTGTCAATATTTCAATGATTCAAGTGATCGGTCTGATTTGAGTTTGACTTCAGAAACGATCAGTCTCGTATCACGCTGATGAGCTGTATAAAACTATGTAACTTATAAATCAAATATTTGTTGTTGGAAAATGATTTTAGTTTAAAAGATTATTAAGAATATATGTAATACGGTATGGATGTACTCAAAATGAATCTGAAATCGTAATTTATTCAAAATTATTTTGCTTTCAAAAACAAAAATATGTTTTTTATAGTAGCCAAAAGTTGAAAAATAACCATGTCCACAACTTTAATGATATTCTACCAAGAATAAAATACTTCAGCAAGATAGATAAGATTTTCACGAACGTTTTAAGAAAACTATTTTTAAAAAATACTGAAAGTCGGGTAGAATAAATAGCATCTAAAAATCAAAATTTTAAAATTTTTTCAGCGTCATTACATAATGGAGCAGTATTATAACACATCCATTAAAAAAATGTGTTAGTGAAAGGTTGACATCTATCTTTACATGACTGAAGTAAAAGGTAATAATAATATTTTCTTTTTTTTTCATATTTCATCAACAAAGTGGTACTGTCAAGTAAACAGCATATTAAATGACGTTCTGAAGAACAGGGCATAGTAACGCTGAAGCTGATGTTTTACGAACACTTTTTTTCTTTTCTAATGAACTTTATAAGAAATGCATGTGAAAATTGCGACAGTAATTTGAATCGTGCAATAAAAAGTTTTTCTCTAACACATAAGTATAATCATAGGTTTTTCTAAACGATAAAATTTAGGTCTAGAAGTAAAGATAAGTTTAGTAGAATTCTAGGAGAAAATGATAACATTTACTACTAGCATTTTGTGAAACTCCTCCTAAATCTCCGAAAGAAAGATGAGTTGAAGTTTAGACTTGAAACCGGCATCCTAACCAGTCAACCGTTCAGTTAACGATCCGGTCTGATTCACTTTTTAAACCGGCTGGTTGACATCGGTTTTTAACCGGCTGAGACCGAACAAAACATCACTGGTTTACCACGAAAGTTTTGTTCATGAAGTGTCGTTTTTCAGCTCGGGAAAAATCTTTTCGTGCCATATTCTAAGAATTGTTTTTTGTGAGTTGTTTCTGTTCGACTCTACCTCAAGAAAAGTGAGTTTCCAGTCACCTTTTTGCGAAATGCGTTGCCGATTTTCTACCGGTTAAAAATTTTTAGAAACCGGCCGATTTTTTGCCGGTTTAGGTGTGTTTTTAGCCGGCCAATCCGGCTCGGTTGAATAAAACTCAACCGATTCCAACTATGCCTCCTGCCTTCCCCAGCCCCCCCTCCACTCCCGCTGGTCAATCGTCATGTACTGGTCAACAACTTTTGAGGAATTTCACCATTTGAGGCCTATAAGGGACTGCCTGACAAGTAGAGATCTGCACGGGCACAGGAATTCCCGTGTCCGCGGGCGTGCCCGTACTCCCCGCGAGCATGGACGGGCACAGACAGGTTTGAAAGACACACGGACGGGCATTGACGGGCACAGGCTTTTCAAAAAAGTATTTTAAATTTTTGAGCAACAAAATGTTAAGAAGATTCGAATTTTTTGTGAGTAAAATATAGAAAGTTAGAGACATGCTACAGAAAGGACAACATAATATGCACGCGTAGATGAGAAAATTTTTTTCATATACGGACTATCATATCCAATCAGCATATGATAGTCAGGGAAAAAATGGGCCTTTCTCTTCTACAAAAAATTTACAGATGGGCACGGACAAGCATCCTCAGTAGGGTTATGGGCATGGGCAAAAGAATCTTGTCCGTGTAGATCTCTACTGACAAGGTTTTAAATAATAATTAAAATTTTTCTTTTCTTATATAGATGGATCGTGAAAATGCAAATTCAACCCGTTTGAGAGTAAATCGTATTAATTTAATTCAAAAATTAGATTCAAATGAATTGGTACCAAAATTAGTCAAATTACATATTCTCGATAATGAAAATCAACAGCAAATTCAATCGGGCACATCTCGCATAGATCGTGCTCGGCGTTTAATTGATTGTTTACTAGATAAAAAAGATAAACCGAAAAATTGGTATTTACAATTTCGTTCTATTCTTCAAGAAAATCAAACATATCAAGAATTAATTGTTTCATTGGATAATACTATTATACGAACACCTGATTTTGCTTTACAGGCACAAGATGCATTTCATACAAAACATTCTGAAGGACAAGTATTTCGAGATATTGTCAACGATGATTTACTGAAACCACGAACACCAAAACAAACAAATAACGATGGAAAATCTTCTGCACCAAAAACAAATCAAGAATCAATAACAAATATCGAGTTTGATCCATATGATATGAAGAAAATTTTAATCGAAGGTCAATTTCAAAAGGTGATCGATAATCTTAACTACCATTCTCAAGTACCAGAAAAATTATTTCAGACATTAAGTGAATCGTCATTAGAATCAGATCAGCAACAACTACAAATGGAAAAAGAAGTTTATGATGATATGAGACGTTTGGAATTAATGGATAATTTAATCAAGAAAGAAAAAGCGTTAGCAAATCAATGTCTCTTTGAGACACGTCTTGTTGATCATCTGTTAGAAGAAAAGGAAAAATATCATTTATTTTATAAATATTTTCATTATTTATCAGCCATCTACGGACATCATATTGATCAAGAATTTTTTAAATCCTATCATAAATTGACCCAACAACATTTAACAGATGATACGGTGAAACATTTAACTACTAAAGGATTTTTACTTTATGATTTTCTATTTGACTATGGGAAATATGATCTTTGTCATCAATTAGCCGAATTAATGATTCAAATGCTGACTAAATACACTCGCCAGGCAAACCAGCCATCAGCAGCACTGTTAATGTCATCATTTGATGTTTGTTGTAAATTAATCAAAGTACATAATGTCAGATTTGAGATAAAACAAGCATGGACACGAATTGAGGCAGCAGCCGAAATTGCTGAAACAATTAAATCAGGTATGTGAATTTTATTTCAAAATATGTGAATATACTTAACTAATTTGAATAGAAAAATAACTTCTAACATCTAACTCTAATATAGGATCGAAAAATGTTGACTTTACACCGTTGTACTGTGTTGCATCTCAAACGGCATTTGAAGATGCAAATTTTGACGCTGCCTTACAATACGCATATAGAGGTTTAAAGGTAAATTGATGTATATCAACAGGATGGGGGAGACTATTTAATCGTTTAACATTTTTCTAGATAGTTGATAAAGCTGATCATAAAATGATAGTTGAGTTACTGTGTAATACTGCTCAAGCGTTAACATCAAAATGGATCATGAATAAAGCGCAGTCAACTGTTCTAATGGCTGTTCAGTATGCTAGGTAAACTAGTTTAACCTAATGTGATTACTATTTGTTATGTGAACGTCATCTATTTTTATAGAAAATATTGTGGTCAAAATAGTCCTCAATACTTGAAAGCACTTCAACAATTAGTTCAGTTTTCAAATGAATTTATTCAAGATAAAACGACTTTGGATTTAGCTCAAGTAAGTTAGATAAACTATTGTTCAACAGTAATGAATATTTCAACTGATTTATTACAGTATGCATTTGATCGTGCCCGTATTATTACTGGCTATGAATCATTGCCTGTTGCTCATTGCCATCGTTCAGTTTCGAAAAGTTACATTACAATGAAAAATTTTGATTCTGATTTATTTTTGCAACACGCAAATGAAGCTTATCGTATTGCTCAAGATTGGTTTGGTGTCAATGATGTGAAATTGCTACCGTTTAAATTGACTTTAGCTAATGCATTTCAAGCAAAAGCAAATAATATTCTGCAACAGGATAAAAATAGTGGTAAACTTAATTATTTTAATGAAGCATTGCAACTTGTTCAAGAATCATTGAAAACATCTGAAGAGTTATTTGGAACAATGAGTTTCAAGGTTGCACAAGTACATCGACTGATATCATCGACATATCTGAGCAAAAAAATGTAATTATTCAAGTTAGGCGTCAGTCATTTGAAAATCGAGCGAAATTTTTCTCTCCCTTCATTTATACATGGTTGGATAGAGTTCGTTGAGTTAATTAGAAAATTGTCAGTTTTCGAATTTTTAGAGTGAAAGTTTGAAAGTATTGAAATTTTAAAGTTCTTCTAAAATACGCTAAAATTTCAAAAATAAGTCAATTTACGTCTGTTGTTCTTTTAAACTTCCAGAACTATTTATTCTGAAACGGAGTATTAAAATCCAAATTTGGCTTAATGCGAAGTTAAAATGACCTTTGATTTCGTTAAAGACGAGTTCAACGATGTCCATTGGAATCTACGGTATCTTTTACCTATGAATGTGTTTTTTCTACTAAATTAAGGGTTAAAAATAACAGTTTTATTGAAAACAGTCTTGTCTCTTTTAGGGTAAAAGTTCTGCGATTTAAAAAGATTGAGTTTTTTCAACAAAGGCGTAACATAAAAGTAAAATCGGTGCATACTTTTTTCCTAGTGTTATACCCAACTGACTAAGGAAGGTTGCTCAGTCTTTTAACTAAAGGTCCTAGATGAATATTTCGGCTATTCTGCTCACATTTAACGAAATTAAAGGTCATTTGAACTTCGAATTTAGCTAAATTTGGATTTTTATACACTGTTTCAGAATGAATGGTTCTGGAAGTTTAAAAGAACAATAAACGTGAAATATTGAATTATTTTTGAAATTTTAGCGTAGTTTAAACGAACTTTAAAATTTTAATACTTTCAAACTTTTACTCTAAAAATCGCTTTAAAAATTTAAAACCGGCAATTTTCTAGTTAACTCAACGACCTCTATCCAACCACGTATAATTAAAGGCAAAAAAAAAGGTTTGCGTGATTTTTAAATTACCGACACCTTATTTACATGGAGCATTAACATTAGAGAGAGTAACGTCCCGCCATCCCCTATCTTTTCATCTTGTTGGTAAAGATGAAAACAAAGATCTGATTGAGTTCAAATTCATACGAAAGATAGGATATCAAAAAAGAAAAGAGATATATTTTTGTTCAGATTTATCTGACAAAGTTTTGGTCATGGCTCTCTAGAATCCAGTTCTTAACCTGGTTACAACAAAACAAACTCTAAAGTCTGAAATATAGTCCCAAGTGTCTTTCGCAACATTTGATAGGGTAAAATTTCCATGGGCTCGTGATGTACATCAATTTGAACTATCAGCATTTCGAGTATTTTAGCTGACGTTAGTCAGGACATTTTTACCAATTCTCATAGTCCTCCAAAAAAAACATTGGAAACATTTAGGATGTCTTATTATGAAGAGAACCCTATGCTCTAGTAGGCTGAAAAAACACTATAATAAGGCGATGAAAAAAAAATGCAATTAATGAAACTAAATAATTGAATTTTTTAGTCGAACACGAACTTTTCGATTATTGTTAGATTCAGGTTCGAGTACGTCAAACATTAAGGTCTATCCATAAGACAGCTTTAGTTTAAAGAAAGATCAATCTTTTCCTCGAAGTGAAATGAATTCTTATACAGCTACACACCATTTTAGGTTTAGCGAAGCCGAACATCATTTAAATACGTGTGTACAAATTTATAAATTATGTTTGCCTCCAAATTCATTTCATTACTTAGTTACTCGAGCAAGTCTTGGTTTATTATACAAACAACAGAACGATCTTGCTCGTGCTTTGAAAATATTTCAAGAAATTGCTCAATCTCTTGGTATGACCATTCATAAAAAGCGATGTCTTTCTACAGCATTGTTTTGTCCTATTCTTATTTCTAGATACAAAAACTCAATCATTTCGTTGGATTAACATGGTTTTAGAAAATTTAATTGAATGCTATACAAATTTGAATGATGAAGAAAATGCAGTGAAAGTTCGTGAAGAATTTACTGAATGGAAACAAAGTCATAAGAGACTGAATTTATTTCAAGAAATAAATAATGAACCACGATCATTACAACAATTTCTACACGATTCAACACGTTTTGAAAATGCAAAAAATAAAGTGGCAGCATTAATGTTTACACAAAATAAAGCAAGAACAAAAGCGACAACAAATAATAAAACAGAAACATAGACCATCGATAGTGGACATTGTTTTTGAACATTGGTTTAGTAGAATACAGAATAAAATTGATATTTTTTTAGCTGATATGGTCACTAGATCCTCCTAATCATAGCAGAAAATTTACCCCTTATAATTCATTTTATTGAGCTTTGAGCTTAGAGGATATTTAAAAACATCTTATATCTTTGATTCTAGCCGAATTTATCTTTTACCACTAGTTGAATCTTCTTTGTTGCTCCTCTTCTTTCAAAGTTTTCGTTTAATTCTTCAAGACGCTCAGCAAGTTGATCATGTTTACCGTTGATGATTGTTATTTGATGTTCAATCTTATCGATTCGAGCAAATAATATTTAAAGATTACGAGGTGGCTGATGATCGACGGATTTATTGTACAAACACTTTTGAACAAAACCAATTAAAAAATTAGTTTTATTCGGCAAGCGTTTAATAAACTGTGTATGTCACGGAAAAGACGTTAACACAACCCGTATGAAACCAATTGTGATCCACATCTAAAATTTTTGCAAAATATTTTCCCACATTTCGAAATTTATCTCCCACGAAAATCTGTCCCGCCGGGCATCTCTCTTTGCAAGGATTTTTTCTTCTAACTGTTTTTATTAGCCTTTTCACTTTTTTATTAAGCTTCCTTTTCAATTTTTCTCAATGCCATCGTACGACAATAATTCGCTTGGACTTGTCTCTCTGTATGAGGAAAAAGTCTCCCTTACGTTTTCCTTTTCTCTATATTTATTCAATTTAATTTTTTATTTAGCTGACATTCCTACATGCATCACATCGTAGAGAGTTCTCGATGAAACAAATGTACAGGAGCAGAGAGTTCGTCAATATAATTCCTCGAGTTTTGGAGATTTGCACTTTTTATGTTGATTAGTGACCGTGATAATGCCAAAGAAGACTTAGACTTAGACATTTATTTGACAACAAAAAAGTAAAACGAACCAATACAATAAACTAAAATCAAAAGAGGTTGTTGCAGGGGGAAAAGCGCATCCTGCACTTATTAGACTGTGACCCTTCTAATTTCGATAAAGAAAACAAACAAAAAGAACGAGAGAAAGAGAAAGTATTATTTTATGCTTGAACAAACTTATGCTGTTAGCTGTAACAACGTCAGCCATTCCACTCAACTGTCGTTCTGCGATAAAAGGAATAACGGGTACTCAGAAGAAATTGCCCTCTTGGTATTTTCGTCGTTTCTCCCTTTTCTTCTATCGATTTAAGCTACTTCTTTTTACAAAAGATGCTTTGAAATACTCTACAAAATCATACCTAAACTATAATTTCAAAACTTCAATCAAGAAAACTAAGCCAATTAGAAGAAAGTCGAAAAAAATAAAAACTTTCCAAACTCAACATTTTTTTCGACTTGAATTTTTTCTTCTGCTACTATTTCCGCTAAAAAGTGTAACAAAAATGAGAACTCAATTCATGTTTGGTACTTTCAAATGTGCTCTTTCTCGTGGTCTGTAAAAATTTCTTTTTAGAGCAGATGATGTACTGGAGAACGAAGTTACAAAAATACGTCAAAAGTTGACAACCTCACCGTTTCCAACAATGTGCACGAGCAAGACACGGAAAACATGATTGAAGTTTTAGTTTTGCAGTTAGATAGGGAAGAGCCATCATTTCTGATCAAAACAAAACAAATCCCACCGAAAAAGCTTTTATTTTGATAGAGTTATGGGGCTTTTACTCAAAGCACTACTATACCGAAAATTTAAAAAATTAATGAAAAAATGCATGACAACCGACAGGAAAACTATTATTTCACCGTGCTTTTGATGTGAAAAAATTTGAAGCGTAGCTAAAAGATAAAGCGAAATCAGGGCTACAAAATGGCTAATTCACTTTTTCTTACTTTCAAAACATTAACACACGAAATCATTTTTGAGTTTGGGAGGTTTTATGTTTTTTGACTTCCATCTAATTGGCTTAGTTTTCTTGATTGAAGTTCTGAAATTATATTTAGGTATGATTTTGTAGAGTATTTCAAGGCGCATCTTTGTAAAAAAGAAGTACCTCAAATCGATAGAAGAAAAGGGAAAAAAGACGAAAATACCAAGAGGGCAATTTCTTCTGAAGCATCCGTCGTAGGATGGTATAGGTCTTAAAAATATCGGCCATCCTAACTGCTCTAGAATGATTTAGCCTGGCGGAATGTCTATGGGTAGTATATTGAATACGATTGAGATCCGAAAGAATGGAATGATTGTTAAGAATCTTATAAAAATGAACTAATCTGAAGTATTTACGACTTTTATATAAATCTGGTAAATTTAATTTTTGTATTAATTCAAAAAACAGAGTCATCAAACTTTTTAAATATAATTCGCGCAGCTAATTTAACAATAGAGTCAGTGCGAGAATTATGATGAGGAAACTTAGTATCGTAAACAACCGAATAATAGTCTAAGATCTTCAATATGAAATAAATTAGAAAATAAACGGAGACTGAGTACTCTAGGTTAATAAACGAGCTGTTCACTGATAGTGTAAAATTTGTGTGTGTTTGAGGTTTATGAGTAAAGAGTAACCAAGAACATGTATTATAATTAACTGCATTAAATGAGAATCACACCACGCACTTATATGATCAACATTTTCTTGACATACAGAAGACGGAAAAATAGCTGAAGACTTGAGACGAAAAATAAAATAAAAAAAACAAACAAGCCAACACTATCTGAAAATATAAGAGACTTCAAAAATGCATGACCTCTCTTTATCATATAATTTGTAATTGTTTTACAAAACTCTTTCTCTAAAACCAAACATCTGTTTTCTATAACACTTTGGACGACAACGTTTTTTTTCAAGTGCAATTTGGACATTTTATCACTGATATTCTATTGATATTCTTCTTAGCAGTTAAAGTCTATGAAGTCGAAAGAACTGTTTAGCGGTATTTGCTAAATATCCAAGCGTGTATTGAGTAAGCAAAAACATAGTAAATGGCCTGTGATTAGACAGAAAAGATATGCTTATTATTTCGTGTACTTTTTTCTTATTTTTCAGCAATATAAATTCATTGACTGGTAGTTTAATTTAATAAAAAACAAAACAGAATAGAATTTTTATTGTACACGCTATAATTGATGATCGAGAAGTTACTTATTAAGGCGTTATATAATACATATCTCAATAATCATAGTTTATCTGAAAAAATATTTTATTTTTTATTAAACTCAACTATCATTCAATAAATTTGTACTGCTAAAAAACAAAAAAGATAATACGAATGAAGAATATTTTCATCCTGATAACATACTGGCACAAAAAAAAAACTGTTTAACAATTACAAAATTACTTTATATGTCATCAGTATGATGTCACTGTATTCCTCTGTATCTCACTGTTTTGCTACTCTTTTTTTTCTTTCTCTCTGTGTTATCAATCAATTTCTGTATAGATTAATTGATTTCTAATTATGATAAAAATCTTGTTAGTATCTAAATGAGGCGTACTTTTCTTTTTTGACATCGATAATGTTTTGACATTGACAGTTTTCGTTGATAATGTTGATAGAGGTGATCAAAATTGTCAGCATTCATTTCAATTAATAACTTTTTTTGTGATATTTTATAGAGTTCAGAGGAAAGGTAATCTTTATTCAAACAAATAATTACGTAGTACAGTTCTAATTGTGTCAATTTAACTGGTAATCTTGGCTATTATTATATATGTGCATACTACTAGAAAATGTTTATCTTTAGATATTCATTGACATGTCGTTGTTTTCTTTTCCATTTTCATAAGATTCTATCACTTTAATAATTCACAATTCCTTTTTTTTATCGTAATCCGAGATTTCCTTTGGTATATTCGTGTTGATATTCCTCATCCTCACCCATACGTTCAGAGTATCCATTATACTATTGAGTGTTTAAGAACCAACTAAATTAATAATATTTGTACACTTCTTTAGTCTCTCATTTTTTTTTTCTATTTACAAAATATGGGGATGTCGATGTCTATTCAATAATTTTAAGTGATCCATGAAGTATAACTTTAGAGAAACGTCAGCTGTTAATAAAAAAGAATAAAGCTAATTGTTATTGCTTGAAACGATGATTCCTATGGTGAGAGGATACAAATATATATATATATATATATAAACAGTCGTTCATCAGTTCTCTCCCATACATGTTTTTGGTGATGAGCTGCCTATCTATATCGCGCTTCTTTTTTTTTTCAGAGAAAATATCATCGCTAACCACTATAACAACAACAATAATAATATTAGATTTTAAGTATACACTCTCTCTCTCTCTCTCTCTCTTTCTGACATCCGACATGTTTTCATCCTGTTGTTGTTGAAACAAACGTTAAAATAACAACAAATGATATTTATCTAGCATTCGTCTTCTCTCTATTACATGTATAAAATGATTGTTTATTTTAACTATAGATACTCATGTGATTTTTCTTAGATCCGTTACTGCTGTCAGAATCATCAAAAACAGATGCAATTTCTATTTTGTTCGATTTAATAAATATTGAGCAAACGAAAAAAAATTAATAGTAAGAGATTTATATTATCACATAATAGACAATTTCAAACTGTGAAACGAATGAGAAAAGTAGGTCTCTTTATAGACACCTATTATCTGTATATTCAAGATAATATCTGTTAGTTATATTTATTACAAAACATTATCGTAATGATTCATTTATATCAAAAGGATACGGGGGGAGGGGGAGGAGGGAGTTGTAGTGTAGCCTACTCTATACATAAAATTTGTCCACTAATGTATTTTTGAAGGTTAACTATATTACGTTTCTCTCGAATCTTTTACATGTACTAAATATATTTATAAATAGTGTATCAGATAAATACTTCTATTTAACAAGTCTTCACATAGATGTTCTTCTTTTTGTATAAAGCAGTGAAGGTATGATATCATTCTCAATAAGTTTATGGTTGTTTAATAAAACATTTATATTAGGTTAGTTGAAAGAAAGCATGTTTATCAGTTCTCATAACACAACTTAAGATTAACATTGTGATTTTATGTGTATGTTTGGATATCATTTTCAAGTAAATCAATTCAATGCTTGCCTGTCTGTAATAAACATATATACACAATTTTTATGACTATACAATACCATCTGTACATTTATATGTAGAGAGAGAGAGAGAGACAGCCATCACCAATCACAAAAATCTTATCAAACGTTATACACACCAATAGAACTGAGAAAAAGAATAACAATACAAGAACAAGATCATTTTCATATATTAACAATTCATTTACGTCTTGGGAAACAAATGATAAAGTGTCGATCGATCATCATTAAAACAAGGAAATAACATTTTTGACGGATGACAAACATATACACAGACAAATTCTCAATGATAAGTGTGAGAACGACTATTATCTGTCTCTCGTCATATGTATCATAGACTTTAGTTCAGCAACGCATTAGTGATTAGATATTTCTTCGGGATTTAGTAGGATATGAACAATTATTGAAGACTAGACAAAAAATTTACAGTCAGAGACATAAATGTCCTAAAGCGAAACATACGTTTTCAGTTTGAATATCACTGCAGAGATAGTAAACCATTTTTCAAATTTTTATAATTCTTTTACTATTTCTGATTCTCAAAAGTAGCAACAATAAGTCATGAAGAACTTCATGTTAAGTGGAAAATTTCTAAATATGACGTGTGAGCATTTCAAAACAGTTGCCCATAATATGACGGCTATTTTCTAAAAAACTGATCATATGAAAAATGTTGAATATTGCATTGTTTAGAAATGATAATTTCCATGAGTTATAACTGATCCATGAACACATTTTTTAATTTTTTTTTTAATACAAGAAAAAACGAATAAATCTCACTGACTAGTTAATAGATACATATGAATTTAAAAGAGAAAAACAGAACAACAACAAAATAATTATAACAGATATATAAATAATTTTTCATTAAACTCGAAATGATTCTGTTACTGATGACGATCCTCCTCTTACTAAATACGAATTCAAATTATATTTAGAATGATCTAAATTTTCATGTGATTTCTTAATGTCGGTATCACCAATTAAACTGTCAATAGTAAATAAAGATTTTTTCGGTGTTGTCTGTGATAACATAGTATTCAAAATAGGTGATGGTGATGTTGTATTCGAATGTAAATAAGGATTTGTCGTCATGAAACGTTTTATCTGCGGATATTTTGATGAGGCCAATGCCGCGGCTGCCATAGCTGCTGCTGAATAAGTATGTGGATGAGAATGATAGGTGGTAGGCGACGATGTGTAACTGGGTGGAGGATGTGCAGAAGAATAATTATGTAATGGAAATGTTCGAAATGTTGTTGAGGATGGTGTTGAATGATAGCATGGATGATGATGATGATTCATATGAGCTCGTTTGAAACGTTTTCGCCGACGAAGAAATGAGCCATTGTCAAACATGTTTTCACTTGCTGGATCCAAGGTCCAATAATTGCCTTTACCTGTCAAAAATCATAGTTAGACATAGAAAAGATTAAATTATTACCAAGTATCATAACTAGGAGAAAAAAGAAAGATAATTATCTTCTCAGGTTTTGTTGCGACACTTTCCTTTTAAGTGGAAACTACCATGCGTCTTAAAAATCGTTGTAAATGTAAAATATCATACAAAAAGTTTTTTCTACTATACTTACCAGGATTTCCCGGTTCACGTGGTATTTTTAGGAAACAATCGTTAAGACCTAAAATTATTGAACATTAGAATATAGAAACGGAAAAAAGGTATATTTTTTCAAAATGGATCTTCAACTCACTTAAGTTATGCCTGATAGAATTTTGCCATGCTGGAAAACGTTCTTTGTAATACGGAAATCTATTCATAATAAATTCACAAATACCACTTAGTGTTAAACGACGATTGGGTGATTGTAATATGGCCATTGTTATTAGAGCAATATACGAATATGGTGGTTTAACAATATGTTTTTTATTTTTATCTATTTCACCGTCATTGGTGGAAATTATGGATGATGGTGACGAAGACGATGATGATGTATAATTTAAAAGTTTTTTATTTTGTTCATCTAATTCTTGATGTTCGGTACCGTGTGTACAATCATCACTACTATTGCAAGAATAATGTCGTCCTCGTATTAATTGATCAGAATTTCTTGTTGTCTTTTCGTTAACAACATCAAGTTCATCATCGTCACTTTGATTTTCCTCATCATCACTGTTAAGTATCAAATCATCGGAATAATTACAAGGTTGTGTTGTCGTTATGGCTGTTGTTGCGATGGTGGATGCACTGTTGTTCATTACCTTAAAGAACAAAAAAGAAAAATAAGTAGAAAGACAGAGAATTAGATTCTTGATGAATTATTAAGTGTGTAAGCCTGTTTAATATGAATAATTTGTTTACTAATAACTAATATACGTAACAAATAACCATTGTAAAGGTGGCCAAATAAAAACGAAAAATATCATTCGAATTCGTCATTAAATCGGTATGCTGCTATATACATTAACGAAAATACAATTCGCAAAATGAAACATGACCCACGTTCTCTATTTGTTCATGAAAGCTAGTTTGTACGTGTAAATGTTTCATTTCTAAAAGTATTTGCTACTACTCAAAATTATTGAGACCTGTTGTCAAAAATCTATGTTAACTTAATATTCACACATACAATTCACTTGTTTCAAATCAAAAAAGAATATATTTTCAAAACATGATTTAATATAAAAAGACAAAATAACACGTAAATAACAGTGAAGATGTTCAAATTTTATTTGTAACTTTTAAAGAAGATATTATAACCAATTTTAGATGAATTTAATCAACAAAACAATAAACAGCAACAATAAGACAAATGTAAGAATTCAGTCTGTGGTTATACATACTTGGTGTTTAATATCATCTAAATCTGAAAATGAATCATAATTCATTTTTTTCGCCGTTATTATCGAAGACAACAATCTTTCTTTTTTTTTTATGTTGACATAATACACGCACGTAACAAGTGTGAGAGTGAGTACATAAATCTCTAAAGTGTTATTGTGCTGATGTTGATTGTTTTACAATTTAATAGAAAAATTTCATTTTTATTTTTATTGTTTTTTGTGCTATAATTATTTGAAACAAAAATTTAGATCACCTTCTATTTCTAGTGGACACAATATTTTCTATTTTCGATCAATGTTGTTTTCCATTTCTGGTTTGAAGTAAGATATCTTATTTTCTGATTCTATGTACGCGAAAGAGAAAGAAAGAGACGAGAAAGAAAACTCATATTATTATTGTGATTATTATTACTGTTATTGTTATTATTAGATTCTGATTCGCGTATGTAGTAGAAACGAACAAAAATGTTATCGTTTTGAATGCCTTTTAACATTTTTCTAGCAATAGAGAGAAGAGAACAAAAAACACGCGCAGATCTATCTATGTACGTTTATGAGAAAAAGAAAAAGGAGAGAGAAATGAAGAGAAATTTAACACACACACAACCAATCCTTTAAAGGAAACTAATGAACAAATCATGTTTTTTTAATTTGACCTAAACCAATCGGACAATTTTTTTAACCGAATTAGGAGTACGCCAAATATTATGTGACTAATTGTTCTTCATTCGTCACTTTGTATACAAGTTATATTCCTATTTCGAAAGTCTTAAAATATGGAATGGGGACAGACTTCATTTTGCTCATAGATTGTACTTTTATCAAAGTAACATTCAGACATTCTTTCATATCTACGCAATGTATCATCGATATATATATAATACGGATGAATGATGATGGTTTTTCATGGATTCAATCAGGTTCATCGTTTAAAATTTCGAAAAAATTTCTGAAAGTATTGTCTTTTTCATCCAGTCTTCAGTAACTTCAGTCTGTCCTATATCATCAAATTATATGCCTTTTATTTTCTTTCCATGTAATACTGTGAACATCATTGGTGAACATTACTCTATGCAAAACAAAACAAAACATGTGTGCCTATATTTAACCATCATCATCGTATTTTTAAATCACTAGTAAAAATCACAACTACTATACTTTTTAGTTTCTCGATCCTTTTGTGCTCTCTTGTTCTCTCCCTCTTCCTTTCTTTCTTTCTCTCTCTCTCTAAAGTGCTTCTATACTTATATATTCTCATTTTCGAACAAAAATGTTATCGTGGTAATAAAATCATACATAAAAAACGTTTTGTTTGGTTAAGTAAATATTTTGAGTGGTAGTGATGCTGCTGCCGTGAGCTAATATAACACAAGGAACATGATGAAAAAGAAAAAAAATTTGATTTACTGCCATTGGCTAGTTATTTTCAAATTGAGATCTGTTTCAAATAAACTATAAGAAATTTGTTCAAAGACAAGTGTAGCGACATATCTTTGTTTCAACTTTAAAGTATCCATCCATCTTTGTATTGAACACAACAACGTCTTAATAACAATAAAGCCTTGGAGCTGTTTTAAAAGAGTAGAGTGGTACTTTTTTGTTGTTTAAATATTGGCAATAATCATCATAATATTTTTTAACACGTAAATTATTAAAAGACAGGTGGACATTCATTTTATCAATAACTTTAACATCTAGACGTACGTGGAGCTGAGTCTAGATAAATGAACCATAAAATTGGTTCGTTTTTGCATGGGAGAGAAAATTACAAGTTAAATTTAGAATATTAGCTTATATCGTTTGACTAGCCGTTCAATCATGAGCTATTCACTCATATCGAGTTTGGAGTATCGCCATTATTCTCCATAATGTACGCGATCAGCATCTATTTTCACAACAGTATGATGAATGTTCATTTAGCGCCTTGTCTCTCTAACGGTTTATATATACACTGCCAGTTTTAAGTACAAGTAAAGGTTGCTTCTGTCATACGGCATATTACAAATGAAAGAGCTTATTTGTAACACTTATATTTATATATATATATATCAATTTTTTAATGAAATAAAATTCAATTTGCATTCGTGCATGATCTAATCAGTTTCTCTTATTCATTTTTTTTCGCTGTAAAATTTCAATCGTTCTAAATCTCTCAATGTAATTTTTTTCGATTAGTTTGACGACAAAAAGAATGTTGATCGCATTAGAACTTGCTGATTACTTCATGCAATTCTGAACTATTGTCTTTTGTTCTTTATATCTAAGAGGAAGAGAAGGAGAGACGAGAAAACAGTGGCAAAATCATAAAGCCAAAATACGTATATAATTGAACAGTCTGCTCAAAAGTTTAGTTCTAGTCAATGCTTTTCGAATGGAATAAACTTGTATCACATTAAACATACACTATAAAGTCGTCGAGTCTATAATATCCTTTATCTTTTAAAACTGTGTATAGCAAGAGAAATTGGATTGAGACAGCTCATAACTCTACTTTAACTCACATGTAATAAAGTCTGCTCGTTTATTTCACTTAAAGAATGCTCTAAGCTTGTTTACTATCATATACCTGAACACATTTCCCTTGTTACACGGTTATAGCAGTACATCTATCAAACTCTCTACAATGACTCTCAAAAGTGTAGGATAGGGACACCAAACGTGTCATTTCATTTCCGATATTCCTAAAAATATGGAACGATATTTATCTATGCATGAGGTTTTTCTTTCTCCTCGCAGAACTTTCCAATGTTTACAGTTGTATTACTGATTGATAAGTTGCAAAATAAATAATATTATTTGATCAGATGATTGTTGAAAATAAATATCGTCGACATAATTAAGAAAAATAAAATATATTTTCTATTCTCTATTCTGCACTTGTATCTTTCTCTCATCTGAAAAAAAAAATAATTGACCATATTTCTTTTCATATCACTTCATTTGGAATTAGAACGTATAATGAAATCCATCTAACACTTGAAGAGAGAAAGAGATTTTTAACTGTTTAACACGTTAAGTGTCTATATGTCTCTATTTTCTTAGATTGAGCTTTTTTTCCATGCTGTCTCTTGGTCTTTATACTTTCCCATATTGTATCATGTATTAAATATTTAGGTAAGTGCACTAATAATAAAAATATTGAGTCTTCAAAAAAAAAAGAAGCATGGAGCTAGCTTTTTTGCACTAGTTCTAGAAAGCAAATAGTAATAAGTAATTAAAATAGTTAAGTATTCAACATGTCTACTTGTATTATTGGCTGTGAGAAATTTTCGTATTAAATACGCTTTCAATTTTTTTATTTGACGTTTCTGCCAGTTTATTCAGGCAAGATTCCCAGACAATGTATAATTCTAAATTTAGAAATACACCATAATTCTCTCTGTATAAAAATAAGTTATCCATTGCATAAATCTTTTCGGATAAATTCATAATATTTAATTTACTCTATTAACATTAGTGAACATGTTCAAACAACAACTTACACTAAATACAGAAAAGAAACGACCTTATCAATGACAACTATGGTAAGTAGACATTTATTGTATTCCACTTTATCTTTCTTTTTTTTTTAAATCAAATTATAGCGCGTTATCAAATATGAAAAAAAAGCGTTCAACTAGTTGTGTTTACCACTATATTATGGATAATTTATTACAATGCTTATTACCAATTTGTTTCTTAAACATATGTTCACGTTTAACATACTCTTGAATATGATGTGATATCGCAAACATGAAACAATACTTTCTACTGTTTAGTACAACTTCTATTTTCATAAAATAGTAGTAGTGTTTGATTTATAAGTAATAATATGTAATACATTGAGATCTCATATGTGAGAATAATTTTTTTTGAATATTA